CCAGGGTGGCAGTACTAGGAGATGCTATGGGCCTTTGGAGCAAAGGGCTTAAGGGAGGTCCTTAGGTCATTGCCAGGAATGGACCTGAATCACAAGGGTCTGTGGGATCCAGGCCACTTTTTTCTCTTCTGCTTCCTGGACATGAGGTGAGCAGTTTTGTTTTCACTATAAATTCCTCACTCTCAAAGCAATCGGGTCCCACCAGATCCTGGAGTAGAAACTTCAAAACTATGAGCCAAAATGTCTTTTTTCTTTATAAGTTAATTATCTCAGATATTTTCTTAAAGTGGTGGAAAAGTGACTAACACAAGTCTACTACCACTGAGCTATATTCAGAACTATACTACTATTCTGTCCTAGGGATCCCACACCTAACTGAAATCCCTACAGAGGATATGTAGGTAACATACAGAAGTGTAATAGGGCAGCTCTAAGAAGCACTGGGGTAAAATGGAGCATGAATGCTGCCAGTCAGCTCCAGCCAGTGACTACTATGTAGGAATGTGCACCCAGTGTTGACAGACCTTGCAGTATTTCAAGGAAAACCAAAAATACAGATTTTTATGTAAAATCTTCCCATTTTTAAATACTAGCCCCTCGCTAACTTAATACCTATCTTCCGTAAACACCATGTGAAACCAATTCTAACTGTGGGAGTAGTATACTGTCAAAATGCATGGCTCTACAGCCAGAGTTCTGAGTTCACATCCTGATTTTGACACTTACTGGATGTTCAATTTAACAAAGTTATCTGACCTTTCTTCTTCCCCAAGTTATATCTCAAATGTTCAGTTAATGCTAGCTACTATTCTTAACATTACTGTCGCAGTTCTGTTACAAGGGATCCAGTTCTCCGCTTCTGTCCTACTCTGATCTTACATCAGTCTGAATCAGCTGGCTTACCGATCTCAAAACAATGTAACACAATTCCTATTTTCCCTCAAATAAGTTTGTTTCAGAAAACTTCTAGGCAAATGAGCAAGTGTATACTTGCTAGTGTGTCATTCAATAAAAAGGTTTTGTAATTGTATTTATATCAGACAGGCAATGATTGGAGCAACTCAAAAGTTAACTTTAATAGCTACATAGTAAGCACAGATCTTGAAGGCAGAAGGCAGGGAATCTGTGGCCAAACTGGCATCTTCAGTGGCTGACTCAGAATTGCACTGGTACAAGCCTGGCTATATATGAGACATATAGTACAGGTTTGTTTGAAATGTTATTCTTTTTAAAAAGTCAGTCTTTTGTCCCATGCTGGGAGATTCTGATTTGTCTTACATCCAAGGACAAAGGTGTGCATATTTTAAAGATTCATGGGCAATGCTGACGTGCAGACAGGGTAGGAAACTAATAGCATAGTCCAAAGTCTGGTATCCCAGAATCTTAGGTTTGAATCCATCTAACAATGCCATGGCACTGTGATTTGGAGAAAACTATCTCCTCTCTCTCTCTAACCCAGTTTCCTTATTTGTAAACTATAGAAATAATATGACCTACCTCATCGATTTGCTAAGTCTAGCAAATGGTAACACTAAGTGGTAGATGTTAATAGATACTTCCTAGTTTCTACATGTTCTGTTTACTCTAAAAATAAAGGGCAACTTCTTCTAGGTTTCTTGTATTTTTTAGAGAAAAAAAACAGCATAATTTTTCTTTGGCTCCAATGATAAACAGTAGTTTATTGGCCACTAAATGTGTAATAATTACACAGTCATTTCTAATTCAAAAGAAAGCAATTAACCAAAACATCTTACTTGCATTTGAGGTAATATGTATGATAAAGATTGCAATAAAATATACTCATTTTATCTTTCTCCCCTTCTGAAAATATATAAATTTAATACAGAAAGCAAAAAAATGTGCATAAAATAACCTTACAACATATAGCTTATGTATTTTTACAAGTATTTAAACTGCACAAACCTATATGACAAAACATAATAAATTCAGGAAGGGAGTATGCATACACAACACACCCCAGAGTTTATGTCCCTGAAATGGAAATAAAAACAAAATTTTAACTTTCCCACTGAGTTAATTATAACTTTAGAGCCTCATCATTTGTTAGTTTGGATTAATCTCCAATACAGTACAGAATTCCTACTTCAGATTTGACAAGGACTTAATATTTTATGAACCAAAGTTAAAAATAACAGGTGCTTCAAAAGCAAACAATCTAAAGACAATTCTAAATAAACAGCCTTCAATTCATATACCTTATAAGATTTGAATTTGAATCTGCTTTTTTCTCTAACAAAGATGACTTCTTTTGTTAAATCTCAATTGGTCAAACAAAGGAACACAGCTTCATAGGAGTTCAAAACCATGGGTAAACTGCTATCCTTCTTCAACATGAGTTCCAACAGAAAATGTAGGGCTCACTAGTTTTCTCTCTCTCTCTCTCATTTTTTTCCTTTTTTTGGTGGTGGTACTGGGTATTGAGCACACATGCTAGGCAAGTGCTCTACCACTAAGCTTCCTCCTCAGTCCCTCACTGTTTTCTTGTTTTAACAGATCTAAGGATGCAAAGCACAGTACTACCATTAATGACACTCATTGATTCCTACAGTCTGGAGGGGAGAGAAAGATGACTGAGAAGGGCATGCAAAGCAGTTTCCAGAAAGCCAACATGCCAGCCCTACTTCTTGCCCTCACCATAAGCCTGTCCTATGAAAACCACTGTGTTAAAGATGAGACCACACTGCCACAGCTTTGCTGTTCATATTACTTCAAAACTAGGCTTCAAAATTAAAATTAAAATAAACATCACTCCTGTCCGGCCCACACAGGTCTGGATAGTTAAACCACTCTAGTCAAAAGACTAGACAAAAGTTATTTACCATTTGAAATATGACAAATCCTTGAGACATATCTGTTGCTTTACTCTATGCTTTCTGAAATCTGCAGTATGATAAAAATCTTAGTGATTCATGGACTAAAAGAGGGAAAAAGCTAATTTGATCTAATAAAACAATATATATATAAAAAAAGACATAATTCACAAAGTTAAAATACTGTTTAAAATTACTACAAAGTGTTGGTTCATTTGATAAAGACCTTGCTATATTTATGTGACTGTTTGACCCCCATGTCCCAAAAGGTTAACGATCTGGCTATAGGGGTACAGATAACCTTGTAAACTGAGTCTGTTTGGATGTTTCCCATCTTAAATGCCTTCCGTTTTATTTCTCACTCCAAAGCGAGCCAGATTATGTAATAAACTGAAAATTTAAAAATTAAAATGACAGGTACACTGGATATATATATATACATACATATATATACATACATATATACATACATATATACATATACATACATATATATACACATATATATATATGTATGTATGTATATGGCTGCTAAAATCCTGAATTTGCACTGACACAGGTTCAAGGGCTCTCACAGGGTTGAATGCTTTCACTTCCAGCCGGTAGAGGATGCAAACTTACCAGAAGACATAAACAGTCCATACTCTCAAGAACAAATATCCCACAATATGCCCCTTTCTAGTCTTGACACCCTTAACAGTAAGGAACTTCAGAGGTGTCGTGCTATCTAAATCAAAGCTGTACTGTTTTCAAGCAATTACCTATAATGGACATGAGGCTCGCAAAAATCTTCACATGCCGAAAAACACACTTAATAAAGATTGTCCTTAAATTTCTATCATCTAGCCTCAACACTTGAAACTTCCCAAATAGTGTATACTTCTCCTCTTTGATCATTTTTATATTTCTCTATAAATTACAAGATCTCTTTAAAATGCAGTAACCAAAACTAGACATGCTATTTCAAAAAATAAAGATGTATCTGTGACCTTGGACACCTTGTTCATTTAAAAATACCTGAGTGTGATGTTGACTCTTTTATTGACTCACTCTCAGCATGTGGTCATCCATGATTGTGGCTTTCTTCTCTCTGTATTCATACCTAACCTCTCCACCATCCTCTATTTATATGGTTAAACCTTTTCCCTCCATACACCACCTGGTACTTAATTCATTAAATTTCATACAGTTTTCATAGATGCACTTAGCACAGTAGCTTATATTAAAATGATTAAATATGAAATTTATAATAACTACCACTTATGACTTACAAATATCAAGATATGAAAGTATGTAATAGCCTAGTACAACTATTATGGAAATCAGGATGGAGATTACTCAAAAAACTAAAACCAGAAATTCCATCTGACCCAGCTACTACCCTTCTAGGTATCTTCCCAAGAGTTAAAGACATCATATTATAGTGATACATACATATACCCGTGTTAATAGCAGCTCAATTCATAACTGCTAAATCTCGGAACCAGCCTATTTGTGCATTAAAAGATCAATGGACAAAGAAAATATGATATTTATGCACAATGGGATATTACTCTGCCATAAAGATAAACTTGAATCATTTGTAGGAAAATAAATACATTTTGAATCCATTATGTTAAGTGAAATATATCAGACACGCAAGCTTAAATATTGCATGGTTTCTTGTATGAGAAACCCAAAATACAAATAAGGAGCAAATTAAAAATAAATAATAAGAGGGCCAGGGATTTAGCTCAGATTTAGCCTGCCTCGCAGGTGCAAAGTTCTGAGTTTGATCCCCAGTTCCAAAAAAAAAAAAAAAAGATAGATAATAAGAAGTAGGGAGATAGATCTTTCTCAAATGGGAAGAAGATCCAGAGATGGAGCGAGTGAAGAGGAAAGCGAGTGGAAGGAACTGAAAAAGGGAATTAAGATGTGTCATGTACATGTACCAATTCCCCATTGAGAATGCACACATTACTGCAAACATGTACTAATAAAATGTTTTTAGGGGCCAGGGATTTAGCTGAGTGGTTTCGCCGCCTGCTGCGCAAGCCCAAGGACCCGAGTTCGATCCCCGGTACCAAAAAAAAATTTTTTTTAAATGTTTTTAAAATAACCAACACATTCTAATTTATAATAAATAATGGAACTAAGGACATCATCATGCTCTTGTCTAATGAAACCTACCTCCACTGGATGATCACTCTTAACCAGTGCTATACGTGCCCTTTGCAAGGAACCATCCATTAGTTTGTGAAGTCGTAAAATTAACTTTCTTAACCCCATCTGCTTCAGTGCTTTGTCTACAAATGGTCTATAAATAGAAGTCAGACAATGTCTACTGAAGCCTGCTTCTGTGCTATAGTCTGCTGCTCCCCAGCCCATAGGCTCCTCTTCAGACTCAAGCCTCTCAAACTTCCTGGATGCACAGTCTTGCAACTGAACATCCGAACTGTTGTCTGCGGATGTCCTGATTTCTGGTACCCCTGGATCAGAGATTTGTTCTTCTTCACTTTCATCCATACTACTTTCCAACTCTTTTAATTCTCCCTCTGTGTCATCACCTTCGTCTTCTGGCTCATTACCTTTGGATGGTCGAGGGGAAGGGATTTCAAACACTGGCCAGCCAATATCTGATAAATTCTTGATGCCCAAAACAGTACCCATAATCCTTAACTTCTGATTTAAGTCTTTTGTGATGTTTAACCACAAACAGAGTGCCTGCACCCTGTCCTGGAAGTCTTTTGCAGCATATTTTTCATAGTCCTTTTGGAGAGCCTGCAATGATGGATAAAGTGCTTCTATATACTCTAGCAGCTCCATTATCCGTTTCACCTGCTCAAATGAGACCCTCTGGCGCTGGAGATGCTCATGATATGTTGAGTAACCCACATTCTTTGTTTCATAAGGGGCTTTGCATGGCCCTTCTATTGAAGTACCATTGAAACTTGCTCCATTTCTAATAAAGGGAAAGCTCCCATAGTTAACTTTGAAAGTAAGGATTTCGTTGATAATATCTGGGATGGCTTGACGGGCTGTATATAAAAAGAGGTCCTGATCATTAATGGTCCGTCCTGCATGCCAGGCTTGCAGCTCTAACCAGATCAGCTCATTTGATCGGTTAAACCAAAAAGCAGATGTATTTTCTTGTCCTCTTTGCTCCCTGTCCTTCTTCTTTGAGACTGAGGTAAGCTTTAGCAAAAGTCGTAATGTTTCAAAAAACTTTAAACGATCTGCTGGACAGTCAGTTCTAGAAGTCTGGCGTGCAGTTCTGGCTATAGGCATGGGTACAGAGACGGGAATCTTAGCATTGCTACAGCCAAGGCTGAGGTAAGGCTTATTGAGATCTACATCTGGAATTGATTTTTTTGGTAAAGACCCACTGACTGAGTCTAACATGAATGAGCACTGTACATTTTTCTTATGATCACGTTCTGTTGTTCTAAGAGTTGCTCGGATCTTTTTCTCCTGCTTGTAGCTATAGTCTTCCATGTTCTCTGCTGTTTTTCCAGTGTCTTTATGTGGAGGCTGATTTGGTGCATTCATTTTTTCTATTAAAAATAAAAACAGAACATTACATAACTCAAAAATATGAAACTACTCAGTATGTTCAATAAAACTGATATTCACATGTACTTATAATTCAAGCTGTGGTTGTTAAAAAGATCATGCTGAAAATGAAAGGAATCAAAACACATATGCAACATTCTTCTCTAAATTTTAAAAGATTGTATCCATTGTCCTTGTCATCATATAAGTAATCACCTTCAACTTAAGAAGAAAGGAATGGCATGGGAGATCTGACAGAACCCTGGATGAAAAACATACCTAGTTCCTATCTTGGTCATGAACTACATGTGTTAACTTTAGACCAAATCATTTCAACTTTTTGGAGCCATTATTCACCAAGATTATTTTCATAAAATGGTGGAGGACAATTGATTAACCAAAACCTATGATTTTAGTTTATTTTATTCCTTGATTTCTTCTTTGTAGAAACAAATAAGTGGTAATATTTTAAATTTAACATTACCATATGTGAAGACAGACTAAAATCCAGTGTAAAGTGCCTAGTGTGATTTTGTGTATATAAAATCCATCAAAATTAATGCAAAGAAATGCACATTTCCTTCAAACAACTAGTTCTATTCATTTAATTCCAAGCTTTGGAATGAACACACGCACATCTTCCTTCTTGTCTAGCAAGACACACTATAACCAGTTATGTATCTTATTAAAATACTTTCATTTTATTCTTCCTAAATACAACCACCTCTGGGTTCTCTTCTACTTACTTAAGTCACTCTTTTTAGCGACCCCCCCCCCCGAACTTTGTATACTCTACAAAATTTTAATGTTTCCCAAAGTTTCAATTTTTAATCACTTCTAGTCTTACTTTGCTTCTCCCAAGTGATGACCATCAGTAACACCCAACACATAACACTATCCCAATCTCTCCTCCATACTCAGGACATACCTCATTTCACCAAAGTTAGGGCAGAATTTTTCCATATTTTAACATTTTTGAAGTCAAAATGTTACATAATCAATAGTGATTTGAGTTAAGTTATAGACACATATTCACAAATATATTTCATTTATGTAAGTATTAAAGACTCAGGTGGGCATGTTGGTGCATGCCTGTAATCCCAGCACTGGGGCAACTAAGGCAATACAATCAGCACAAGTTCAAGGCCAGCCTGGGATACAGAGTGAATTCAAGACCAGCCAAAGCTACATAGTAAGACCCTGTATCAAAACTAAAATAAAATAAAACTATTAAAGACTCTTTAAATAAATAAAAATTCTAAGAATGGTGTCATTAATTATAAGCATTTTGCTTCTTAGTACATAACATTACAGTGTCTTTAGATATGACAGAATAGGATGTATTTACAAGTTATAGAGTAATATATCTAAAATCAATGCACTTTAGAAAATTTGTTTAAAATCAATTTACCTCCTAATCTATTTAAAATAAGGATTTTAAAACAAATTTTCCTAAAAAAACTGACAGCCTGGTTTATCTTATATTGACTATAATTTATGATTTATCAAAAAGGATTTGTCTATAGGGATTTTGTTACATTTTAGTACAAAAACTATTATTGCTATTAAACCTCATTCATAAAACAATTTGCCTAGGCCAACATTTAAATTACTTCCTCTTTGCCTTCACTAACAGACCACATACATACCATTCATTTCTGTTTAGTTAAGCATGATATTTTGAAAAAAAAAAAAGACAAATGTCATTTCAAGACATTGAAAATACAATTTTTTTAAAAATATCAGACTATACTTTAAGAAAAGATAGAATGCTATATACACTGTATCGCCATATAAAACTACAGATAGAGATAATGAATTTAGTTTCTAATACACTAAATTTGAGGTGCTCAAGGGACAACTATGTGGAAATGTCTGAAGGTAACTAAAATATAGGTGTTGGGATCAGCACAGAAATTCAACAATGTGAATTTAAAAATTATAGTAGATACAGATATTATCTCATGCCAGCATAGAACATAAGAACATTCAGAAAACGTATGCAGAAGAGAAGCACTGAGGACTTAGCAGAGAGTGTTATATAGTTAGTATGGAAAAGAAAGTCTTGAGGCAAAAAAAAAGACTTTTTTGTAACAAAAAATCAGTTTTGCTAGTTTAAGGTTTGGGGCTTAAAATAATCATAAAACTTATGTGGTACAGTGTTACTGATAATGGCTACAGAATATTTGCACATATGTGTAATTTATAATTTGAAATAATAGTGAACAGTAAAGAAACATATATAATGTATTTATTTTCTATGATTTAAAGGTGCTAAGAAAAGCAGATAACTGAGACTAGCTGGGATGACCTTAATAACCCCCTTAGACTGGCTATAAACATTATATTCAAATCTATTATATTTACCAAGTGAAAAAACCATGAAAATAGTGAGATAAAGCTTCTCAGCCTAGATATTTGTGTTAACAATTGAAAGGATCTAAGAGGGAAAAAAGGTCATAATACCAATTTTCTTTAGACATAATCTCATTTTAGGAGTCCTGAAAAACTGCAGGTCAAACCAAATATACACAAACTTTGTTAAAGCTTACCTTATAGCATACAAAACAGTAGATGTATTACATAATTTTCTGAAATTTGACATAAAACAGTGATTTAATATTTGGATGTACAGTGTGCACAGGGAAAAGCAAACTGGGAATTGAGCAAGATGGGACAGAGCTCTCTTCTCCCCCAAAAAACAAAAACAAAGTTGGTTTAAAAAAAATAAAAAGTAATACTTCTTAGTTTAAATGATGATGCAATTCAAGCTTAAAATAGATTTAAACCTTATCTAAGCTACTGTGCAAGTATATACATATACCATATATATACATACACATGCATATAAAATTAGTTCTCAACAATATCTATATTTTTCAGATAATGTACTTACAGTAGTATGAGTAAAAACACATTATTTTTTTTTTTGGCAATACTGGTGACTGAACACAAGGGTGCTCTACCACTGAACTACATTCTTAGCCCTTTTTAACACATTCACAGTGGGGTTATAATTCGTTTGTCTCACTATGGGGTGGTTCTGATTTGAATTCCACTGTCTGATGTTAAAGAGCTAACTACCAGCGGTTCAAACCAGAGGGAACATGTTAAATTGCCCAGGCTGGCTTCAAACTTGTGATCCTCCTCCCTCAGACCCTCTAGTAACTCATATTATAGGTATATGCCACCATACACAGCCATAAGTGTGGTTGCTAGCAACCGATGACAAAGGTAGACTTCTACAAAATTGTAAGGAATCTATTAAGAAAGATCTGAGAGGGGCCGTAGCTCAGGGTCACAGTGCCTTCCCGGCAAGCTCCAGGCCCTGAGTTCGATTTCCCCCAGTACTAAGATCTGAGAAAAGCATTAGGGTGTTTTCAGAGTGACATATAATAACATATAGACCCAGAAACTTCCACAGCCATTACAAATTTTATCTTTACCACTCTAATACATACTAACAAACTTCTTAATGCACCTGCAAGTACATTACTAATGGACAGGTTTGTTTGTTCAGTTTTCTGTTAATACTAAATCTCCTTGCAATTAACAAAAAGTCAAATGCAAAGAGAGCTTCTGAAAAGGAAAGGATTAAAAGTACAGCAGTTGAGAGAACCTCAGCCGGTCCCAGAACCCGGAAGGAGACTCCCGCCTCCATCCCAGGCTCCCAGGGCAGAGAAGCTCAGCCGGTCCCAGCACCCGGAAGGAAGCTCCCCCGCCTCCATCACAGGCTCCTAGGGCAGAGAAGCTCAGCCGGTCCCAGCACCCGGAAGGAAGCTCCCCCGCCTCCATCACAGGCTCCTAGGGCAGAGAAGCTCAGCCGGTCCCAGTAGCCCGAAGGAAGCTCTCCCACCGACATCCCAAGCTCCTAGGGCAGAGAAGGTGAGCCACGTGGGTGCCAGAAGCAACCCCTCTGTAGAAATGAGAAGACACGTAAATAAGTCTCAAAAACAGACTTTTGGTTCATCTACAGCAACCCCAAAGGGAAATGAGATGGAACAATCTGACACTCAACCACCTGGACTCTCTGAACTGGCAACAAAAGAGGATCTGGGAAAAATGAAATCAGAAATAATTACTCAGATAACAGCAAAGATTT